ACCAAAGTTGCATCATCACCCTTTTGGTCCTTTCTCCAGCCCATCCTCCTCTGTCCCAACATAAGTAAGGAAAACTATGAAACGTCCTTCAGATGAAATGTAGTTTTCACTCTGAAACTAGATTTGTATTGCTTTAAACAGCCACAATCAAAACAAACATGATGGTTTTCGAACCCTTTTACGTTGCTGAAAAGCATTTTGCACTAAATCTACAATTACTATTCACAATTCAGCCAATTTACCAAGAGAAAAACGGAAAAACACCGCCAAACAAAGCAGACGCCCACATTAAAATGAAAGACGGAGTTGCAGAGGCACTACTTACCGTAGTGGTCCCAGCAGGCTTCTCAAACATCCTCTTCAGGCTATCAAGCGGGATGTCAAACCTCTCGATCCTCTTGGTAGCCTGCAGGTCCTCTCTGAGCACCGGATCGTCTGATGTCACTACCTGCGGCCTGGAGGGGCCACAGGAAACGAAGCCCGAGGTCGCGCCTGCAACCTCCTCTCCATTTCCTGATTGAATTTCCATTGTTGTGGAGAAACTGTACACCCCCCTGCACCACCACCGCCAGCTCTGCCTGTCCCGTGGGACTCAGAGGGGATGCCGATACACTGAGAGGGAGCTGACGCCCAGGCCCTTCTCAGTCTGAGAGGCTCTCTGGGCTCATCCAGGCATGAGAGGAGGAGAGTGGAAAAATGTTCACTGGAGAAAGTTTTCCTTCTCTCCTCTGCCCTGTAATTACACACACACACACACACACACACACACACACACACACACACACACACACACACACACACACACACACACACAGGCCAATGTGAACTCACAAGTCAGGGGTCAGGGGAGTAACCGGAGAGGGAAGTTAACCTAGAGTGTATGAAGTCTATAATAAAGCTCTAAAATCATATTTCATTCATTATAATGTTAATGTACTAAACATAGACAGTCATGTACAAAAGGGGTTAATTGCATTAACAAGACATGTTGATAGAAAATAAAGAAGTTAAACGTAACTATTTTTATTAATAGCTGATTCATAAATTAATAGCTGATAGTATAGAGCCATTAAAGTATATTTCTATTGAACAATTGTTATGTTAGTTGTCAGATACGCATCTTTGCACAACCTCATTTTGGAGGAAAAGCGAAACGGTCTCAACAGATTGACGAGCTAACGGCTAGTCAAAGATGGCCAATATATATATATATATATGCATGTGTGTGTGTGTGTGTGTGTGTTTTCTGACTATTTCTTTACTCATTATTTGTATACTTTTTTTATTTGGCTTTACATTTATGTCTTGAACACATAAGATGAATTTATGGTTTGAGTGAATATTAATATAATTTATTAACACTGGTCTTCCCTGGGGGGACAGCAATTTTCTAGGGGCGGCCATGGCCACCCTTTGGGGGCACCACTGACTCCCAGATATGTTTCATCTCTATGCTGACTTGATTGTGACATTCTTCCATCTACTACTTAATGTAATACATGGAGCGGATTGCAATTAGAATCATCATCGATTGGAGTAGAAACACGTTAAATGAAAGCACAATACAGAATTACAAAGCCACTGACTGATAAACTGGTTCTTCTCTCCCACTGAGAGAACATCGGGTGAACCTCCAGGAAACAGACTGGCACCGTTTCGTCTCACCCATCCGTTCTTACACCACGTCCAGAGTGGATAGGAAACCATTTTATTCCCAACAAATCAAGGAAAGGCCCTAAACCGCCAACCTCGCTGGCCTTCGCTGCAGCCATGATGGAGAATTTATTGTCCAGCCTCAGCAGCTCTTTCCAGGGAGTGTTTTCCTGTGATGGGTTTTTGCTAGGAGATTGAAATTAACATGCTAACCCCATTTCCTGTGTGACTCACATTTAAGCTGCCTCGTCCTGTCATGGTCAAAAGTGGGAATCTGGCTGTTTTGGCTGCTGGAACGGAGAGCCTCGGGTGAAAGGCGGAGCTACAATATTTAATGTTACAGGAAAAAGTCAGCTGAATGAGGAACATCAATAAAGCTGAAGGAGAAAAGAATGAATGGTGATTGGTCATGATGTCTAACCTCTGATAGGATTTTGGAAGGCTTTGAGGACGCAGTATCACCGCGTCCACTCCGGCTACATTATTCAGAGGTGTGTGTGTCACTTTCAGCTGTATCCTGTGTACATTCGGTCCTCTCGGCTTACAGCAGTTACTCGCGTGTACCGAGAAGAGAAAAACACAACTTCTACCTGATGGTGCCAACCTGAATGTTTGATTTCATCCCCCGCTCATGTTATTCGATTCCAGCCACTGAAGATTTTAGTCAGAGAAAGACGCAAGGCCGATGGAGCCACAGAGACTTCCTGTTATATGCAAGTTGCTCCTGATAGTGAAAACAGATAAATACTTTTAAATTTATTTAATTTATTATTAAAACAGAAAAAAAAACAACACTAACAAATAAAATGAGGTTTCTCAAACAAAGAAAATGAAACGGGAACAGAAAGAAGAAAACGTATGTTTTCTGCCCCTTTTTAACTAAAATGACATTTTTACAATGAAATAACAATAATTATAGATTAACATATACAAAGTAATTGCTCGACTGGTTAGCTAACTTGAGCTAAATTTGTAAGGAAGAAAGAGAAAATTAATAGTTATAATAATTCTAACAGCAAAAGGATTTTTGCACATGTACCTATTCATACATATACACATTAAAGTGCATCGCATGCCCATACGCTCGCACATACTTCATCTATACATGTCCATATAGACATACACACGTGTCCACTACATATGCACATACACATACATACATACATATTTATACATACACACAAGAATATACCTACACACATCTCTATAGCTTTATTTATTTACTTTTTATATAATTGATTTGCACGTATATGATTCCAGTATTTCATTTTTAATTAGTTTTTTGAAAGTAAATATCGTTTTCGCGTCTTTGATTACATTACCTAGCTTATTCCATAATTTAACTCCATATATAGAGACACAGCGCTCCTTTATAATTCAGTTCAATTCAATTCAAGTTTATTTATAAAGCGCCAAATCACGACAAGAGTCGTCTCAAGGCACTTCACATAATAAACATTCCAATTCAGGTCAGTTCATTAAGCCAATCAGAAATAATGTTTCCTATATAAGGAACCCAGCAAATTGCATCAAGTCACTGACTAGTGTCAGTGACTATACAGCAATCCTCATACTAAGCAAGCATGTAGCGACAGTGGAGAGGAAAACTCCCTTTTAACAGGAAGAAACCTCCAGAGAATCCTGGCTCAGTATAAGCAGCCATCCTCCACGACTCACTGGGGATCGAGAAGATAGAGCAGGCACACACACACACACACACACACACACACACACACGGGACTGTCTCAGCTGTTATTTTCGTTAAGGAGTGTGCACGTACAGCATGCGCGCCTCACGCACGAGCCTACTATTGAAGCTGCCGTTACGCTTTTGGCCTGAGGGGGCAGTCGCGAGCATAAAAATTCAAAAGTCCGAAAAGTTCCTTTAAAATGAATCCTTACATCAATGGGTACCCATTGAAGAGCAGCTAGGACAGGAGTAATGTGGTCATACTTGCGCCTGCCCTCTAAAAATCTGTCAGCAGCATTCTGCACCATTTGCAACCTGGCAATTGAGCCCTTGCTCACACCGAATAAAACAGAGTTACAGTAGTCCGATCACACCGTGATAAAAGCATGGACTACCGTCTCAAGATCATGTCGTGACAAGAAAGGTTTGATCTTTGGCAGCCGACGGAGGTGGAAAAAGGAGAAGATCGCTCCGTTGATGTGGGTGTCAAAACTAAGGACGCTATCCAGTATTCTAAGAGCAAACCAGCAGGAAAAATACTTGTACAATAAAGAAGGTTCGGCAAATTCCTCACACTCCAGCATGATTTAAGCACCTCATCACTTTCTAGGCAGACAGACATGATGAGGATCAGATTACAGCAACACGACTCCACTCACTGAGGTTTTACTTCCTGCGCTGCTTCACTAGAGCAGAGAACAGCTGACAGCACAAGAGGACTCCAATGCAGAGCAAAAACCAGAGACAGACCTTTCAAGGACAGCTGAAAAAAGATATTCTGAACACATAAAGAACAAACAAGATCTTTATGTTTTCAGAGTGCTCAACCCAAGGAAAAGCTGTGAGATGGTCCAGGACCAGATATCTGGCTGGTGTGACTCGCGGCTTCGCCTTCAGAGCTCTTTAAACAGGCCAGACAGACGGAGGTACCATCTGCTGCCCTGACCAGCTCTCAGCCTCTCCCTTCTACAAACAAAATACTGGCTCTTATCTCATTCACTGCAGCTGTGTGCAACATTTTACCGACAACTTCGTTAAAACGTGCCGTTTATGACTTGATTTAACTTGTTTCTTAACTGAAATGAAGAAATAACAATTTCTCCTAATAAACTGTGGATTATTTGACTTTATATAAAAATAAACATGATGTGATAGGTTTTAACTAAACACACACACACACACACACACACACACACACACGTTATGAATGACAAGTCTTCCATCTGGTGTTCATTTACTGGAAGTACAAAATACACTGATGATTTTTGAGGTTTAGTGGTAGAAAAGTTCTTCGTTGCCGTTGCAAAGGTTGTGAAGTCAAACCAAATTCTTCTATTAGCTCATACTTACTGCCACAACAGCATCACTGTTATGGCAGTATGGCGCATATGGCAGTATTGTTGCGCACTTGTTTTTAGAACCTTAATACGGCAATTAAACCCATTTTAAATCCACTGTCATGTTTCTTCAGCTAACCCCCTCCTTCACATTTTAACACCTCCTGTCGGGGACGTAACAATCACACAGCTCCATCCATGATGAGAACATCCTGTTCTGCCACATCCCAAAGGTTCTGGACTGAGATCCGGTGACTGTGGAGTCCAGTGTACTCAGCATCAGATTCTAGAAACCACTTAATGATCTGATCTTTGTGACAG